CTTTATTTGGAGAATTTTCTAGTGCTAGTGTTTCAAAGTCAATTGATTTATTTTTTTTCCTGCAAGTTTAATCTCCAGTGAACGCCAGCCAGTGTAACTCTTTTATTCCAAGCATGTTTAGTTTTAATTTAGAAGTTTTATTGTCATTTATATCTCTATATCTCCTCCTCATGAAGGATATATCTTCCTATAAATCTCTCCTATCATTCTATAATTTGTCCATATTTATAAATCTCTATATCCTCCCTCTTCTCAAAACTTCAGGAAAAATAGAGCATATTTACAACTAGTCTTTTTAACACTCTTTGTCTGTTATCTCACATTCCACTATTCATGGGTCTAAGTCTAATCAATTAAATTTTCCTCTGAGATTATGGTCATAAATTTCCCAATTCTTATGTACGTCCTGGCAGCTACTCTTTGGATACTGGACCACTAAATTCTTATGTTGGTTGGGTATCGACATTTTGTTGACATTGCTTTAAAATGGTATTCGACTTTTTTTTTGGTCTAGGAAGCATCAGACTATTTGGCGAATCGTTTGTTTCGTATGCAGCATTGATCTTTAAGCTGTGTTTAAGTCATGTCAGAGCAGCCCTTTATTCTCAGGGAAATTTAGCCTTCCTGAATAGTCTACTCAATGCCCTCATTTATTATGAAATCCCTCCGCCTTGCTACAGGACAGGAATACTAACTTTCCAGCCTGATGATTAGCTCTCGAGAATGTTCAGCCTACTCACTTCCAACTTCCAGCCTAGAGGGCTATATCCAGCCTATGGATAATAATTATTCTCAGTGCATGCTGACATAATCTAGTACTCCACCAAAGACTCAAAGGGACACTATTGCATATCTCCAAAGCTCGCGTCATTTGGAAGCTCCCTGTGCTCCACCAATGTCTCCCTGAACTACAATCAATGTCTCTAAAACTCAGAGAGATTCTTGTTTTTAATTTGTTTCCTTCTCTCTCCCTGCACAGCAGAGGGAATACAGCCGTCTAGGTAGAAAACTGGAGTAATTATATAGTTTACCTTGTAATCAGGGCTAATAATCCTGGCTGTCTATCACATGTCTGAAAACAAATTGCCTTATATATTTTGTCTGGTTTCCTAATTGCTAAGGTGAGAGAGTAAACTCTGGTCCTGTTATTTCTTCATGGCCATATTTAGAAATCTCTTACCTTGAATTTTGAAAAAGGAATGATTTTTGAATTGTATACAGGATATTTTTTATGCTCGTAGCTGGCTGGGTTGTGTTTGCATTTGGGGAGACTCATGGAGGAGAAGACCATTAAGCATTACCCTCAAATGTAGGGCTAGCATATATACAAATATTATATCTATGTCCATCTTGAAGAATGGATTGATATTGAATTTGAAAAAAATTTCCAGGTCTCATAAAAACAAAAACCCAATGTTGGCTAAAATATACAGGTTATAAATATGAAATCACCCCAAGTGCCAGAGCTCATTGCAACATTGCAAGTTTTGAATGCCCCTCAAATTCTGGTTGGGGAAGAAAGATATGTAAGGAGAGGAAAGTTTATAGTCATTCAAACA